ACAATAAAGAATTTACATAGGAATAATAGATCATCCTCATTGATTCAAGTGACATAAACGGCTTTATTGCCCTTATTGCATAACAAGCCTTATTTAACCTTAATGATAAATCCGTAATATGGTTCTTCCAAGATAAGGTGCGATCAACATTTATTCCCAAGAATTTAGTACAATTGATATTTGTAATAATTGAATTATTAGATATTATTTGCAATTTTATTTCCCTGTGCTTTTTTAGAAAGAATTGTGTAAGGTGTGATTTATCACAGTTTAATGTTAGAAAGTTACTATTAAACCACATAATTGTTTCATTCAGAACTAATTTTATATTATTTTTAAATTCTTCAGGATTCGTGTTTCATATGATAATACTTGTATCGTCTGCAAATAATATTGGATTACCTATTTTCTTAACGGATAATGGAAAATAATATATGTAAATAAGGAACAATAATGGCCTCAATATAGAGCCTTGTGGAACTCCATATTTAACTAGTTCACATTTTGAAGACACTTTATTAAGTTTGATATCTTTCACTGATATGAAATAGGTGTGTGGACAATATTAAAATGGATCTTATAGAGATAGGATGTGAGTGTGTGGATTGGATTGATCTGGCTCAGGATAGGGACCAGTAGAGAGCTCTTGAACACGCTAATGAACCTTCGGGTTCCATAAAATGCTGGGAAATTCTTGAGTAGCTGCAGAATTGGTGGCTCCTCCAGAAGGGCTCAGCTCCATGAGTAAGTAAGTAAGTATATGACATTTGGTTAAAGTTTTTGCAGAAACATATATTGCTGCACATATTTAAATATCTTTGACATGTATCATAGTATGTATGAAACTTTTCAGATGATGTTTTAAATGATTTTCATATATTTTCTGATCTCTTACCATTGGTACCATTTGGGCAACCAGTCTCATAAGTTGTACCCACTTCTATGCAAAGTCTTAAGTTCAGTTGCCAAATAAAATTCAGAACATCATGTAGTCATGAACTAACCTTTTATTTTCCCAATAAAATAAAAAAAACATCATATTAGCAAGAAAAGAATGTTTAGTTTTCTCAACAAATATGGAAAGAACATTAAAAACAGTATTACAATAAATGTATTATAGCAGAAAAATTCAGAAATGAAAAAATCAGTTGATAAACATGTAAACATTTAGGACAGTAGTATACATCATCCTCTTTTGATGTTCTACGGCAATTGTTATGGCCATATGCTTTGAATTTTATACATTGAGTCATGCCTTCTACATGATCTTTGCAGAGGAAATGTATTCATTCTTTTTCATTAATTTGTATGCAGATTTCTGGTGCAAAATAATCTTTCAGATCTGGATAATTTGATCTTTTCATTTTTATCGAGTCTTCTCATTTGTCTCTTTTGAAGTCATAAGTGCAGTTTTATAATATGGGCTAATTGTAAGCACAGTAGCTGCTTGTATTTTTTTTTCTTCTCGAACCAGGATAGCACAGTCAGTATAGTGGCTGGCTATGGGCTGGATGACCAAGGGGTCAAAGTTCTACTCCTGGTTTTGGCAAGAATTTTCACTTCTCCATGTGTCCATGGCTCTGGGGCCTGCCCAGTCTTCTATAGAGTACTGGGGTTTTTTTTTCCCTGGGGGTAATGCGGTAGGGGCATGAAGCTGACCACTCACCTCCAACTAGTGCCGAGGTCAAGAAATGTGGCTCTATACATCCACTCCCCCATATGCCTTTTTGGCGTAGTGCTTAAGTAGTTAAGCATAGGGACAGCTTTACTTTTACCTTTACCTTTTCATAGTTGGCTTTGGCCTAGGAGATATTTCTTCAGTGATGACTTATTCATAATACTGTGAACTTCATCTTCTTTAGAAGTTGCAATAATTTCAGGAAGGATTTTTCTTTTATTGTTATTCTTATGTATGTTTATAAGATTGCCGACAGCAAAATCAGCATCGTTAAACACATATCTGTTGATTGGCCAACATCCACAATTTTGAAATGTATTAACCATATTTCTGATGGATGCAGCTTTATTATATTCTGCTGTTATTAAAGAAGCTACTTCTAGCTGAGCTACACGTTGAGCTGGATGACAGGTCTTACATTGATCCAGAGCATGATAATAGAACACTTGCATGGGCCCAGAAACTCCCACATCAAGAGGTTGTAATCTGTATGTGGTCACCCTGTTTTGTTGCGGAAGAATGATTCCATTAGCTTGTGCTAATTGTAATGCAACTGTATTTTTTTTATAGCTTGTGCTAATTGTAATGCAACCGTATTTTTTTTATAGCTTGTGCTAATTGTAATGCAACCGTATTTTTTTAGTAGGTATGACCATCAAGCAACAAAAGTAGTTGTTTTCCATTGTTGGTTTCACAGACTCTATAAATTGTTGGAGTCATCTTACAGAAACATCACAAACTATAAACTTGGAAGAAGATTTAAGTTATGTTCATATCTTCTCACCAGAATGCAGGACACAGTCAGAAAATAAGGATATCCCTTAAGTCTTTCTGATTTATGAAACTGTCAGTATTTCAAGATTATTTATTTATTTATTAATAAAGAAATTAAGAGCACATATATTCTATGGAATTCTTGCTACCATTAGTTCAGATTCTTTTGTCTTTCTATCTGCTATCTAAAATAAAAGGAGTAAAGTAAAAAGCTGTAATTTTACTTGTCAGATTTGAGGTTCTCATGCCCGTGAATACAAATATTGTTCTGACTTGGAACACCATGCAGAAGTTTCAGAGGAGCCTTCATGGTAGAAGAATTTTGGGATATTATTGCAATGAATTTTTGACTGTTAACACCCCTAAACAAAAGTCATCTAGCATGTTAAAATGAATGAGCAGCCTTTCATTTGTTTGTAATGCATCTGTTCCCTCAGTATTGATCTCATTTTGATGTTGGTATGTGTAGTGACTTATGATTGACTGTTTATGCATGTTATTTGTAGGAGACTGCATTAAACTTAACATTGATGTATCACTCGGTAAAGACAGTGCAAGCTAATAGCCTGAAAGCTGATAACAAATGATGAATGAATGAATAAGGGGTGGGCCTTCTCGGTCCTTGTACCACGACCTACAGTGATCTATTGTGCTTCCCCTTTTGAGTATCCCCTCAGCAATCCTGCGCTTCGAATGAAGCGTAGGACTTTGTACATGTGGGCGTTGAAATAGTCACTTGGTTCCATAAAGTATTGACCCAAGTGACATAATCTTAAATAAGCTAAGGCTTCACCTTCACACAGGATATGTGTGGCTGTTTCATTGTCTTCTTGACACCTCTCACAAGTGTGACTATCACTTAGTCCCATTTTGAAGAGTTGTCCTTACGGTGACAGTGTCCTGTAAGTAAGTAGTCCCGCCACCCATCGTAGCTGGTTCCTATTTAACTTCAACAGTTCCTTCGCTCTTTTGGCACAGGGTCCTCGTATGAGTCCCTTTTCTTGCCTGAGTCCAGTCAAGGATCCCCAGTATTTCTTGTACTTCATATTTGTTCAGTCCCTGATTGCCTTTCTGGCAACTCCTATAGAGATGCCACAGGCTGGTTCAGGTCCTATGAACGGACGTTCAGTTCCAATCTTAGCAACTTATAACTAATGATAAGACTTCCCCTTGAATTTTGAGTGTGTTAGGCTATTAATGTTGTAAAGGTGTTCTTGTGCTTTGTTAACTTCTGTCAGTCATTGAAATGCTTAGGCTGGTCTAGCAACCTTCACCTTGAGTTAAATTCTGGCAGTGAGCACCTGAAGTAATGATGACTTTAAATATTATATTTCTGGATGATAAAAGTTAATAGTATACTTGCATACAGTATACAGAATGATCCTAAAGATCCGCAACTGATGTGAAGGAACTGAACTCCCATATTTACATGCATGGAACATGAGTTACTTTAAGGTTATATTTGGAACAAATTATAGACTAGAGCAACAGTGACAATTAAAATAGTGCATGTAGTGTTGACACTGTTCCTGTCACTTCATTTACCTTTCATGTGGATCAGTGCATGATCAGTGAACTCTTGACATGAAACATAAAGTTTACAATGCTGAATGTTCGTTGGAGTACAGGGGGCATATGATGAGATGATCAGGGAAGTTCACTAATTTCAGTAGTTTATAAGTTCTCCAGTTTACTAAATTTATTTGTGATCTGGAATTAATTTTGTTTTTAATTTTCCACTGATAAGTCAGCATAGTTAGTTTTGCAGTCTTGAATTCAGATGGGCCCATGCTGATTAGCATATATGATACTGATTTCATGAAACTGGTTTCAGTTATTATTCAGGGAACACATGTTTATGCATACTTTTCCCATTGTTTTTATACCAGATTTTAGTCATCAATAGCCTTGAACCAGATGTAGGTTTTCATGTAAGTGAAAAATAGCCTAGCATATCCAGGGCTTGAAAAACACAGCTGCTGTTAGGAGAAGAAGATTTTCTGGCTACTGGGTGACTTTCATTTCAGTTACCTCCTCCTCCCTCTCATTCTTCTTCCTCCTCATCTTCTTACTGACAGGAGATTTAAATTTTGTAAGGGTAAAGAATTTATTCAGTTCTTGTAAAATGTGAAAACAGAATGACTCCAGTTTTCCTATCTCTGTCCATTACACCAAGTTAGAATTTGTTGTGAAAGGTAAATAGATGAAGTTGTCCTTGTGCCTAGTTAATTAAGCACTGTTCTGTGAAGACATATGAGGGAGTGGAGGAGTGTAGGTATAGCTCCACCATTCTTCACCTCAGCACTAGATGGAGGTGAGTGGTCAGCTTCACGCCTCAGCCACTTTACCCCCAGGGAAAACACCACCACCAGTACCCATTGGACAGGAGGCTGGGTGGCCCTCAGAGCCAGTCTGAATTCTGTGTAAAAGAGAAAACTCTTGCCCCTGTTGAGAATCAGACACCAGCCTGTATCCTGTTGCTATACTGACCGAGCTATCCTGATTCTGAATTTGTTGTGCTAAACAGAATCCTTTTATGATATTTCAGGACACAGGTCACAGGCCTCTCCTGAAGTCCGCCACATCTCAGGTCAGCATGGGAAAGAGTTTCGTGACTTCCTCCTTCGGTACCCAGATACTTTTGTGGTTGGGGAAGAGACAGTTGTGCTGAAGGAGTGGGAGGACAGGGAGCCACAGCCTTTTCATGAATTGGAGCAGGTAACTTTTTGTAAGGTTTAAGACAGTCCCACATACCTTCAGTAACAGAGCTTATTGTCTTCCTTAACATACCGAAGAGGACCTTCATATCCTCATCACCAGTGCAAGCTGCAAATCCATGTGGTGCCGTTATATACTGTCTCATCACTAAGTGATGTAATTTTGAAAGCATTTATTGTGTGGCTGTGCTGCCACAACGTAATATTGTTCTGGTATTTTGGGGTGCACTGTACTTCATTTCCTTTAGAAACACTGCAGTCATTAAGTACAGGAATATCTGGCAAACATGTGTTTTTGTGTGTACAGTCACCACCTTGAAGAGTTGTATCTTTTTGGACATAATGCCATGTTCTCCACTGAGAGTTAACTGATGTTTTGGAGGAACATGTTGCCTCCATCTTCAGGGTCGAAGAATTAGCCAACCAAGTAACCAGCGTAATGCAGGTAGCAAGCAGATCAATCAGCTTGCCGAAAATTTTGTTTATATAGGAAACAGGAGGGCAATGCAAGACAACAAGTGAGTTCCCATTGACTCACCCAGTGGACAGAATGAGCCAATAGGAGTGTAAGAACAACTTGTCAGTTCCTATTGGCTTACCCACACAACTAAGTGAACCAATAGGAGACAAGACCAGGATAACCAGTGTGCCCCTGGAAAGGGCCAATGTATGGGAGGTAATAAGGGTGTGGTGGGCCAAGAACTGAGGAATATGTGAGAGAAGTCATGTGCAGTGGCGCTAGGCATGTGGAGGCATGTGGTAGAGGTTAAAGTAGCAGAAGTAGAGGAAGGAAGCTGGGGCAAGAGAGTGGAGGCTTATGGCTGATGGAGAGGGCAGCATATATGGACCTATGTGGCCCAATGGAGAAGGCTGCTTTAGAATCCTGTGAGGGAGGCTTCCTTTGTCCTTCCAGGGAGCAGATTTTGGGGGGAGGGAGTCCAAGACTTTAGATGGAAACTATCCTGTCAGTCTGTATTAGGTTGGAGCTCAAGCTTGATGACTTCTCTGATGATGCAGTCCATGTTGCTTGTATAGCTGGATGTAGTGCTCCAAGTTGCTACTGTGCTGTACCATTGCTGACTTATCCAAGTGTTCAAGACCCATACGTCATTTATGCTTCTTTGGCCTGGTGTTGATTGAACAGCCTATGTGTCCAATGTAGACCAGACTGCATTCACAAGGGATGCTATACGATATATATACTCCTGATGTCTTAAGTCCCAGATTGTACCTGACTGACCAAAGAAATTTTCCTCAGAGGGAGGCCAACCAACTTGGTGTTGCGCAGTGACAGCACCTAGAGTTGAATATCGACCTGACATAATGCAAAAAAGCGAGGGAGTCTGGCTTGTTTGCAGGCTGGGCAATCCTCCAGCAGGATTAAGAGCCCTCTAAATCTGCCAGTTGCTGTAGCTGTTCTGCCTGAAATGCCTGAGGAACATCATGTCCTCATGAAGGCTGTCCAGATCACAAAGTTCTAGCCCTGTATACCACTGTGGAAAGTGCGGCATGCTTGTTGGATGGGTGGTGATGAGAACAGGATTTAGCAGAGGTTGGTATTGGTAGGTTTACGATGTATCTTATGGCCCAGAGAGCCATCGGGTCACCTGTAAATATCTTTGTCCAGGAAGGGAAGGAGGCTGTCTCCATGGTGAGCTGAATGTACTGGTGGACACCATGCAGGTGGTCAGGGAAGTGCCTGAGCCTCTCAGGGCCATGTGCCAGATGATGAAAGTGTCATCCACGTAACTGAACCAGCAGAAGGGCTTATGAGTAGCCCAGTTGAGCACCATCTCCTCAAAGTGCTTGTAGATCTGGCCAGCAAAATTGAAGTACAAGAAGGTCAGGACATGTCAGAAGAGCCTCAGAATACTGTCCTCAAAATGTTGACCTAGGAGATTCATGGCCGTATTAATCAGCACCCTGGTGAAGCTAGCCATTAAATCCTGGGGTCTGGAATGGTAACAAACCAGTCTAAGTCAGCTGAGTTCCACACGTGACTTGGAGAGTTGCCAATATGAGAACCAAGCAGGCCTGCCAGATGTTTGGCCAAGTGGTAATGGGGGCCCCAGTGGTGCTCACAGTGGGCCTTAAGGTAACCCCTTGCCTGTGGATCTTTGGCAATTTGCTGTTACCATTTGTTCAGTCTTCAGTTTGAAAAATGTGTATTTGCTGTGTACAGGTATTCAGATATTATGTATCTGAGTATATGTTTGTCAAAATCGAAGACTCAAAAGAAGTTGGCCATCAGATCTAACGAACTGAGGAAAACATCACTGGATGTTTATCCCGCACATGCCATGAAGAGTGTACAATAAATAGCTATTAAATTGTGCACCAATCAGCACATTGACTTATAGATTGTACAGTCTGATTGTCAATAAAGGAGAGAATAACAAAAAAGTTTATCGGAATTGTAATTCTTGTTTTGTGTGTCTCTGATGTATCTTGTCTGTTTCAGGTACATGTTGACCCTGCGGTGACAGCACGGTTACTAGGATTCATTTCACAGTGTATTGAGGTGAAAGGTCCCATGATGGTTGACCAGTTGTTCCATGCTGTAGCTTCATCAAGAATTCCCCAGGATCAGTGGGCATGCATGTTCAAAACTCCCCAGGATCTTTCTACGTTCCTCAAAATGCACTCTGATGCATTTCATGTGCAGTCAAATCTTGTGACCCTAATTTCTGTTCCTCCCCAGACTTCCCCCACAAGATCATGCAACACAGCCAGTAACCAAGTCCCTGCCGGTCCACAGCCGTGTTCCCCCTTCCATCAGAATAACAACAATAACAATAATATTATCAGTGTTAGCTCAAGCCCCATAACGTTGTCCAGTGTTAATAATAATATTGAGCCCCAACTAAGGAGTCTCACACCGCCTGCTCCTCCTGTAACAGCCCTTCAGAATCAGACACTGAAACAGCGAATCAATTCACTGGTGATGAAAACAATTGCACAAAACACAGAACGGGACCGAAGTTATGCTGCCACTTCATTAGCAAATAATACTTCGACAGCAGGTGGAGCTCATGGTGGTGATATCTGGAAAGCTAAAATATTACAGAATACTAAGGTCATTGTTACCATAAAAGAGAGCCTGCAGGTTAGTAAATATTTTTTGTGGATTCAGTTATCTTGTTTACTTGGATACCACACACTGTTGAATAAATCATGCAAAGTACTGTATACAAAATAAACTACCAGAATTCCTCATGTGTCAGACAGTTTTGTGTTTATACAGGTAGGTTAGTTGAGAGTCTGCCACAAATTGTTTGGCCATGCAAACAGGAGTTCTGCGTGTTACCTGCATCAGATCTGTTCATGCACAAGGTCGACACTCCAGTAAGCTGTACACATTACAGGTTCTCCTCAGTATCACCCCAATAAATCACTGAACAGTTAGTGTGAAGTAAGCTTATGTGGACAGGTATATAATGAGTGGTCACTCATAAATCCTGAACCTCATATACAACTTTTGTAATCTGCAAAATAAGCAGTCGTGACTCAGATGTGTTGCATCTTTTGTCAGAATGCCACATTACAGCAGTGAGTGTTCACGTATGATACCCATGTGAAGCATGGTTACGTAAGAAATATAAGGAGAAGGTTCTAATGTCAGTTTCAGGATGTTGCAGTTCCACATAGATAAATTATCTGTGTAATCAAAATAATCAAAACAGACAGGTTCATCATGGGACTAAGAAAGAACTGAATCAAAAACTAAATCCTTGCTGCAGATAAATTAGATGAAATCAGTGATAGGCTTGAATATTCTTCTTGCAAATCCCCCAGATGCCTTTGCAGAACATACTGTGGTTTTAGAATCATCAGCATGAACTACCACATCACTTCAGGAATTGAAATCATATGAGGCAACTGTGTGATCCTGCAAACAGAGTTAATTTTTGTAGTCATATCCTTTAATCTGTTCATGGTGGTAAAACTGGTCTGTAACTGAGTTTAATGAGTCGTGATTTCATTTATATTGCAAGGTAAATTCACAGCAAACAGTGGAGTTCACATAATCCAAGAGTAATACACGAGGTTCCGCTCCACACTTGAAAGATTGGTATGTGGTGATATGCTAGTAAAGGAGAATATTTGGACCAGCTTGCTTCAAGAACGCATGTAATTTTAAAAGCTGTGTGGAGTGGATATTCTTCCTATTCTTTGAGTGGCTAGAAGAAGAAGAATCCAACAATACTCTTCTGCTCATGTGACTCGCTTCAGTGGATGGCTTGAGCAGAGTGTTCCCATAACCTCAGCTCATGTGACTTTTATATATGGGGAACCATAAAGCAAAATTTCTACAGATCAAACTCCCAAACAGTTAGAAATTGAAGAAAAATATACAAAGGAAGTGCAGTCTGTTTCAGAAGAAGGACTTCAACACATGAATGTATAAACTTCTCTCATAGATGTCAGGAATGAGTGCAGAACAGTGGATAGCATGACCAGCATCATCTGTAATCATATGAGTTTTATTTGTAATATGTATAGTCTGTTGATTTCTTAACCATGCAATTGAGGACAATTGTGTATGAACCAATTTGATGTGAGTAGCATATGTCATTCTCTCGCAAATGATCGAATGATTTGCAGAAGCCAGGAAATAATCTCCCTGTATTTCTTGATACTGTGTCCTTGGTAATTCTTTCTCTTAAATGACATTCATATATAATTCCTCATTCTTCTGAGATATAAGAAAGTCACTTTTATCTCCTTTTGATTATTTTTAAAAACAAAATACTGTGGTCATTAAATTAACAAGAAATTGTTTAGACAATTTAAAAATCGAAGGAATAGAAAGTGCATCAGTAACATTCATTCCATTTGGATGTTGGCTTCTTTCATTTTACTCGTTTTAATGTATTTTGTAAACTGTCTTCATTTCTGTTCTTGCCATTTGAGATTTAAAAATGTTATGCTGTAATTTACTGTCATCTTCATAAGGCTTGACATGCTCAGGTTTTGTGATGATCCTGTTTAACAGAATATGCTCACTGTAAAGTACAGTGCATTCAGTGATCGAGGAAACCTGGCAACACAATAGAGCATAAACAACATTTCTCACAGAGTGGTGCTGTAACTGCAGATGGTAGAATGAATTACTAGTGCTGATCTGATCTTTTCACTACAGTAAGTCGCATTAATAGTTAGTGTCTGATAAAGGCATCAGTAGTCTGTTGACATTTACATCATATACTGAAATGAAGTTCACAATTGAACAGTGTGTTTATTGTTGACACTTTTGCAAGAAAAAAACCTTCAGAAAATTTATCCATAAGTTTCATAGTAAATATCCTGACTCACCAGTTCCCACAAAGTCATGTGTATCCAAGCTTGTGAAAAAGTGGCAGGCCACAGTTTCAGTGTGTGACATAAAGAAGCAATAGAAGAGGATTCTGCTGACTGAAGGAAAGGTTCGGAATATTGAGGCATGACTACAGATCAGTTCCTGAAAATCGTTAAGATGCTTAGCATAGAAAAGCAGTGTTCACTAGGATCTGCCTTCACAGACACAAAATTAATCAAATTTAGCCCATATAAAATAACAGTTGTGCATGAGCTGAAACAACCAGAATATGCAGAAAGAATTTGGCTGCTGGCTGCTGCAAAATTTGCACGATGGAATCATGGATCCACAGCTTCTGTTCATGACTGATGAGGTGTGGTTTCATGTTAGTGGTCATGTCAGTGCACAAAATGTAAGAATATGGAGCGATGAAAATCCTCACACTATACAGCAAGTGCCATTACAGAGTGAAAAGGTGGGGGTGTGGTGTGAGGTGAATCACTGACCTCTTATTTTTCCACGAAATCATGAACTCTGACCACTTACTTACTTTCTTACTCATGGAGCCGAGCCCTTCTAGAGGAGGCGCCAATTCTGCATCTACTCAATTTCCCAGCAATTTATGGAACCTGAAGGTTTATTACCGTGTTCACAAGAGCCCTCCACTGTTCACTATCCTGAGCCAGATCAGTCCAATCCATATCATTTTTAATATTGTCCACCCACCTACGCTTTGGTCTACCCAGTGGTCTCTTTTCTTCAGGCTTTCCCACCAATATCCTATGTGCATTCCTCATCTCCCCCATTCGTGCTACGTGCCCTTCCCACCTCATCCTCCTTGACTTGATCATTCTAATTATACTTGGAGAAGAGTACAAGTTATGAAGCTCTTCACCGTGCAGTTTTCTCCACACTCCTGTCACTTCATCTCTCTTTGGTCCAAATATTCTCCTCAACACCCTGTTCTCAAACACCCTCAGTCTATGTTCCTCCCTTAATGTCAAGAGACCAAGTTTCTCACCCGTACAGAACCACAGGCAAAATTATAGTTTTGTATATTCTAATGTTTATGTTTTTGGACAGCAGACAAGACAAAAGGTTCTGGACTGAATGGTAGCAAGCATTACCCAAGTTCAATCTCTTCTTAATTTCTTCCTGAATCAGTTTTCGATCTGTTATCGTTGTTCTGAAATATCTGAACTGTGCCACATTTTCAAAACATATGTTTACTATCTTTATGTCATGAATTTGCCATGCATTTTAGTGATGAGACAGCAACATATACTTAGTTTTCTATGTATTTCCTTCTAGACCAACCTCTTTACTTGCGTCAATTAATGTTTGTGTGTTTTTCTTTATGGTATCTATATTGTCGCTCTGTAGATTCACATCATCGGCATAGGCCAACAGCTGATGTGTCCCTTTTAATTTCAGTCCCACCTGGTTTTTGCAGGATGTTCCTAATGCCATATTCTAAAGCAAATTTGAAAAGGAGTGGTGATAAAGCATCTCCTTGTTTTAGACCATTCTGGATAGGAAATTTATCAGACAAATGTTTACCTATACAGACTTTACTATACGTTTTGTTTAAACACATTTTAATCAACCTAACTAGTTTCATGGGTATCCCAAACTCTGTCATACTCTGACTGCTACATTAATGATATACTGAATCCGTTCTTCAAATAGCTGACTGCTGAAGAAAGACAGTATGGGTATTTTCAGCAAGACAACGCTACAGCACATACGGCTAATGCACTCATGTTTTGCAATATGAGAAGTGTGTGAAGACAGAATAATCAACAGGGGACTGTGGCCTGCCTGATCTCAGTTTTTGCGATTTTTATCTTTGTGGAAATCTAAAGGGAAAAGTCTACAAGAATAATCCTCAGAACACTGACGCTCTGCAGAATGAAAGTAACGTGCATAATTGGTTCAATTACTGTGGACCAAGTTCAGAAAGTGTTGTATAATTTATTTATGCAATGCAAGGCATGTTTACAAGTTCTCATTTTCAGAACCTGTTATAAAGCATGGTAAGTTTGTTTTATCTGTTTACAGTATTCTTATAAATGTATGCATGTACAGAAACTGATGCGAGTGAATCAGTGACACGACTGTACTCTCGCTAGCAGGGAAGGGCACAGCAGTTGTGGAGGAAAATTCCATCCACTCTACTCTTAACAAAAGTGCATGCGTTTATCAGCGCTAATGGCTCATTCCGCAATTGGCAGTTACAGCAGCAATCTGTGGGAATGTTGTGTCCTCTATGCGCTGCTGCGAGATTTCCTTGGTCGCTGAATGCCCCGTATGTTGACATACCAAAAAATTCCAGCTCATTTTGTGGAACTTTTGTTTGGAAAAATTGTTCTGACCGCTGTACAGTAAGGCTTCTTTTGATGCAGGTTGTGGAGGATATCATGTCACAAGCAGCTACAGAAAAGGTCTCTGTTTCATTTGACTGTGAGGGTATCAACCTTGGTGTTAAAGGACAGCTAACACTGTTTCAACTAGGTACCATGTCAGGTTTTGCTTACATCTTCGATCTCATCACATGTCCCACTATTGTCTCAGCTGGTGGACTTCAGCATCTCTTACAGTCAGATACTGTTACAAAGGTAAGTGATTACTCTGAGGTTTCCAAATTTTTCGGTTGCAGCCCATGTGAAGAAATGCTACAGATCACTTTATGTCATGTTAAGTGATTAACCCACTCAAGCTTGTCCGACATTACATGCATATCTGCATGGGCCATCACATGTTACTGTCAAATGTAAATGCTGTATGAGCACTGCAGCTTTGTGTGTTTACTTTTGAAGTGTATAGTGGCTCAGATTAAGAAATTGCAGTGTATAATTTCATTATATTGTTTTGAGATATCGCGGTTTTAGCTGACCTAGGAGCATAGGGAAGTCATCTTAAGATGTATTTTAAAAAGTGAACGAACAGACCTTGTTAACCTTTATCCTACAGGCATTTAAATTCCGGTAAGGGCAGCGGTACGGAATAAATTTAAAATACCCGCGATTATGAAGCCATAAAACTGGAATCATTTACTAAATTTGCTCCTATTTCTGCAATTTCTGTGATAAACGAACGAAATAAACGCTGTTTTTTTCTCGAAAGAATATAGAATCAGATATTGTAATTTACAGATTGTATAAAACATGTTAAGATTTTTACACTGGCTCCAAATAAGAAATTCCCCAGTTTTGTTAGTTTTTTCTACAAGAATTCATAGGTTCTCAGAACGCTTGAATGCAGGCAGATGCATGACCACTTGTGCAAGTTGGCAACACAGCGGATGTTGTGTCTATAGAGTTTATCAGAGTCTAAATGACATAGTTCTTTTGGAATGAGGACATTGGGCGAGTGATATAAACTCAGTGTTGTATATCGAGCTCTGCTACACAATATGTTTACTGTTCTTATACAGTTCAAGGCTAGCATTCTTTATGCATGCGTTGCAGTACCAACACACAGCGTAATAGCTTCGTGTCTGGACGTGTTCAGTCGTCGTAATCTCAAAGTTTGATCGTACCATGGCGTGGTGTCGTTTGGAATATTCTGACATATTTCAGCTCATCAATGACTCCGATTCAGATTGCTGTACTGACAATTCTGAGAGTGACGTTGAAGGTAGCGAATCATAAAGTGATTTCGAAGAAGACCCATCATCTTCGTCAGCAACCTGGGGACCACCACACCAGCATGGCACGAGGAGTGTGAATAATTATTCAGGTGGAGCTGTGGGCAAACTGTGGCAAACAGTTATAGCATCTGTTGTCGAACCTAGAAATGGACAAATAAGCTATTTTTCCATCTCCCTGATCTGAACAGTTACATCCTGTTGTCACACAGAGAATTTCGTCTCGCTCTTGTGCGGAACATGCTGGAAGGGGTCCACCTCGCCATCAACGGCCAGGGGTCGAACCCCTGCCGTTTTATCGGAGATATCTCGATTATAGAAGGCCAAACCACATCACTGGCCGACTTCCTCTACTTCGCAATTGAGGTGTCGTGTGTGCTTTTCGCGTGGGAAACGAAAGACCGTCCGGACAAAGTGCATGAAGTGCGAAATCGGACTCTGAATTTCCGGATTTTTTTGAGAATTCCACATGAAGGCAACATTCCGGCAGATGACGCAGATGGGAAGACAGACACTCCATGCAGATGGTGGCCAAAAATTATATAAGTAGGACATTATTTTCTACCTTAAAAATGTATTTCAAATAATGTCCGCACGCACGGACTGTGCGACCCCATATGGGGTCATTCGTACCGCTGACTTTATTTTTGCGATGCTGTATGTCGTCTTTAGTAGTTTAAAGGTTAAAGAATAGGCCCTAAAAGATGGGTTCAAGTAATTATTTTGCATAAGAAATTTCTCTTTTGAATTTAGGTTATTCTACCAGCGTTGTATGTAAAGTCATGATGACACCTTAATTTAATGGATGTATGTATTGGATTCAAGCAAAGTGCTGTTTCATAGAATTAGGTCTCACTTCCTTCTAACCATGTATGGCTGCAGCATTCTGTCAAGTGGAGTTTTATCAGATTTTCCCACATTTCACTTCCTGTTATAATCTCCAATAAACTACCAGGATGGACATGCCCTGTGTCATTGTATTTTGATCTACAGGATAAAATGAAAATGAAATGAAAATGCAAAGGGATGCACAGTTGTCCTTTATATGCAAAGCATGAAAATCACCCCATAAATCTCTGAACAGGTATCGGTGTAGGTTGCATAATTTTAATGCTCTGCCTCAAACCCTCCTCACAGAGGCATTCCCATCAATGTCCTCATTATTTATGTCAACAAACACTTTCTTTTTGCTTTGCATTCATTACTGTAACCCATTTTCAACAGTGTCCTGTTGTAGTTCATGCAAGGTGACAGTTACAGGAGTGTGTTGTAAGAGAACAAGCCCAGTCAATTTCAAAGCTTGACAAGGCACCACAACATTTGAAGAAAGAAGGAGGCCATCAGTTGGAAGAAGTATCTCAGAGAGACAGGAGTGTAAAAGTCATCTGACCAGAATGGTGTGGCATTATTTTTCCCTTAAAGGAAAGTTCTCGTGATCTGTTAGTTGAAATTTTGAGATGACAGAAATGTAGCAAGCTATAAACCTTGAAGATATCTTCCTCAGTCCCCTTGGGGAATTAAGAAACTCCAGTCTTGGCAAGGGACATTACCAACAAGTGAACTCTGATGTTACACCCTAAGTCCTGTAGACAACAAAGCCCTGCTTTTCGTTTGAGTTTTGAAGCACCATTTAAAAGCGAATCATTATGAACACCATGGTTTAAACTTCACAAACATAGGAGTGCTGATTTGTTCTCCAGTTGGAAATGCAGATTGCTCATTGTCAGACCAATGGAAGGAAAAGTATTCATACTGAAAGGATCAGAGATTCAACCACAAGAGCAGGAATGGATGTGATGCCATGAGACCTAAATTGTCGTGTGCAACTTCTGAATCCTATAAGTGAAAAGTCCAAGGAAATTAACTTACTGCTCCTGCTCAATGACATTTCAGCAACTTCTATTCTGAAGGTGATCCAGCTATTATTGAACAAACAGTGACTCAAAATTTGTATGTAATACATTATCTGAAGGCATCAAATTAAAGTTCCGGTTTTAAGGAAACAACAATTTATATCGTTTTGACACCTGATAGGTGTCTTGAAAAGCTTCACTTAAACCATAATCAGTTACACCTGAATTCTCATTCATTCAGTGACAACAGTTGAGCTACCTACATGACTCACTTCTGCCCTTTGACACCATGCCCAAACCCTGAAAGAGATTAAAGGTGCTAGCTGGGCAACCAAAAGTAAAAAAATTCTGCAAGACCAAAAGGACAGTTACAGTACTTTTAGTTTATATTGCTTAAATTATCGTATATTCTTACATTTTGAATGTCCCATATTATTAAAAAGTGAAATCTGCCATACTTGATGTCTGTTGAAAATTGTTTCATATTATTCTGACTTATGATTATGGGTAGGTTCATTTGACTTGTGTGTTACTTAATTACCTTACAGTGATATTAGTTAACTATTCAAAATACATTTTATAGACGTTTAAAATGCTAATGAATCATTCTAAGGCTTGTAGTGGTAATTATTTCTAAAACCAACAAACTCCATCAAAACAAATCTGGCAAGAGAACAGGAAGCAGTGAAGAGCACTTGCCAAGTGCTAACATTGAAAGCTTGGCCAACATTTTGCCTCATCACTGCACATTTATGGGAAATAGAAACAAGTCCAACTTGGTAAAACATTACTTCTTGGGAAACGTATTAAAGGATAAAATGGACATAAGTAATATTTTGGAACCAGATTATTTTAATGTTTAAGCCTCTGTGGTCTAGTGGTCAGAGTTCCTGGCTACAGATCCAGAGGTCTGGGTTCAATTCCCGGCGCTACCAGATTTTCTGAGAAGTAGTGAGTCTGGAACTGGGTCCACTCAGCCTCGTGAGGATAATTGAGGAGCTATTTCAAGGAAATAGCGGCTTCAGTCTAAAAAACCGATATTAATGGCCGTGGGAATTCATTGTGCTGATCACACGTCACCCTCTATCCGCTGAAGTTGGCACTAACTTTGCTGACAAGCGGCGGTCTCTCAGTTGGTATAGTTTGCTTGCGGACTAAAAGCATGGAGTATTCATTTTAATGTCAGAAAATGTCATAATTGGTGTCATCTTAAGCGAGTTCCATTGTATTTCACAAAAACCATTAGAGATATTGCTTGTCAGCCATATATTGACTGCTACTAACTGCTTTTGAAATTAAATGAAATCGTATCACTGCCTGTTTTTTTTTTTTCAAATAGTCATCCATAAATTTACTTGTACATCTCCTGATTGGAAGATACACAATCAAATTGATCATATTTTGATAGATAGGAGAGGACATTCAAGTATACTTGATGTCCGATCATTCAGGGCAGCAGATTGTGATACTGACCACTGCCTGGTGGTGGCAAAGGTTAGGGAGAGACTGGCAGTGAGCAAACAACACATAGAGTTCATATTGTGACATGTCTAACTGTTGCTCGGCAGCGGGAGGTGGAACAAGTTACCATGAAGACAGACCCTTGATAAACGGTTGGTTGCCAAGTTATGCAACAGTAAGGAAAGCGGTGTTTGTCCACGGTGAGCTGAAGTGTTTTGGTTGCTACGCAGCGTTGCCCAGCAACGCCTTTGTAAACATGCCATCGCGCAACAGGTGAGCCCGTGCAGCGACTGTTGCTAGGCAGTCGGTAAACACGATGTCACGCAACAGTGAAAGCTATCACGTAATTGTTTTCTGTGTTGTCAGTGCAGAAGATACATAACAGGAGTATTCCTCAGTGACAGAGAGTAACCATTCAGTTGAAGTCTGGCATTCGCCGGAGTGAGTTGAAGTCCATTGTTATTGAGCTGTTTCGAGAGAATGGCAGTGACTCCAGCAGGAGAAGTACTTGTAATACTGCAGATGGCAGTAATTGTGAAACTGAATTGTATAAATGTAAGAGCAAATGTGCAATAAATTCACTAGTTCCAAGACGGTGTGAAGTTATTTGTCGTGTGCATACCCAACATGTGACAATATGGAGATGTTCAATCTC